CTGAGGAGCTCTTCTGTGTCAAGACACTAGCCGTCTTCTTCCTCTTGTTCCTGTAGCAGTGAGAGTTACCGGTACAACCCGCGAGGTTGCAAGTATTATAACAGACTTTGGTAGCCAAACTAGTGTGGTATTTGTGGACAGACAGTGAGAATCACAAGGCTGGACCCAAAACAACACAGCCAGGGGCTGGGGATTTAGCTCAGCGGCAAAAGCTCCTGCCTGGCAAGCGCAAGGTCGTGAGTTCGGTTCCCGGTACCGGAGAAAAACCAAAACCAAAAAAAAAAGAAAAACAACACAGCCAGGGGCTAATCTATGTTGTGAAAAAATCACATCTATTTCTTGGATAAAAAGGTAACATTCACTAAGTTATTCATTTTTTAGTATAGGTGCTGCTAAAGCGAGCGCATTAGGTTATTGATATGCATAAGCTAAAAGAGAAATTTTATTGATTTTTGTTAGTACATAACAATCTCCTTCCTTGTGGGGAGTTGGTACATGTACATAACACATCTCTTTTTTTAAATCTCCTTCCCTCCTTCTTCCCCTCTCCTGCCATCTCTTGGTCCCCTTCTCTGGTTTTAAATTCACTATGTAGCCCAGGCTGGCCTTGAACTTGCAGTGATCCTACTGCCTCAGCCTCCCAGTGCTGGGATTACAGGTGTGCACCACTATGCCAGGCGTGGTTCCCTTCTCATTGGCAAAAGCTATCTTCCTATTTCCAGCAGGTATCTTTTACTTTATTTATTTGTATTTTGAGTTTCTCATTTTTAAGCTTGTGTATCTGATTTATTTCACTTAACATTATGGCCTCAAACTACATCCATTTTCCTACAAATGACTCAAGCTTATCCTTCTTTATGGCAGAATAGTGCTCCACTATGTATAAATACTACCTTTTCTGAATCCACTCATCTACCGATAGACATATAGGCCACTTCCAAGATTTAGTTGTTATGAATTGTACTGCTACAAACATGGGTATGCACGTATCACTGTAATATAATGTCCTTAGCTCTTTAGGGAAGATACATAGAAAGGAAACAGCTGGGTTGAATGGAATTTCTAGTTTTAATTTTTTTGATTCCATAATGTTGTACTAGTTGATATTCCCACCAACAGTAATAATACTTCAGTATGTAATTTTTCTTGAGGTTATTGTGAACGGTATTGTTTCCCTAATTTCTTTTCTGGTGAGTTTATTGCTGGTGTACAGGAATGCTATTGCTTTTTTGTCTTTGTATCCTGTTATACCACTGAATGGTTGGTTTGTTCGTGACAGGGTCTCGTTATATAATTCAGGCTGGCCTTGAATTCACTATGTGGCCCCAGCTGGCCTCAAAACTCACAGCAGCCTCAGCCTCTCCAGAGCTGGGATTACTGGCATGCACTAACAGACTTAGCCTGAATTTGGTTATTAATTTTGGGAGTCTTTGGGTGGAAACTTTTGGGTCTTCTATGTGGAGGATCATATCCCTTTTCTTTCTCTTGCCTGATTGCTCTAATTTTTCTGGGAACTGTGATGAACAAAAGTGGTGAAGGTGGCCATCCTTGTCTTATTCCTGATGTAGAGGGAAAACGTTTAGCTTCTCCCCATTTAATATGATGCTGGCTGCTTTTGTTGTTGATTTTGGTTTTGTGCATCATAAATGAATTTTTTTTTTCTTGATCTTTTTGAGACAGGGTCTTGCTATGCAGTTCAGGCTGGCCTTGAGCTCACTTTGTAGCCCTGGCTGGTCTTGAACTCACAACGATCCTCCTGTCTCAGCCTCCTGAGTGATGGGATTACAGGCGTGCGCCACAACACCAGGCCATAAATGACTTTCACCATTTGAGATAAGGTCCTTCTGTGCCCATTTTCTTAAGGTTTTTTTTTTGTTTTTTTTTTTATCATGAGTGGATGTTGGATTTTGTCAAAGGCTTTTTCTGCATCAATTGAGATGATCAGATGATTTTTGTCCTTGCCTCTGTTTATGTGAGGTATTATGTCTACTGATTTGCTAATGTTGAACCATCTTTGCATCCCTGGGATGACTTCTACTCGGCTATGATGTAGGATCTTTTTGATGATTTGTTGCATTGTTTTGGATTATCTTGTTGAGGAATTTTGTTTACATTTACTTGAGATTGGCCTGTAGTTCTGTTTCTTCATTGGGTCCTTTGTTCGTTTTGGAATCAGGGTAATACTAGCTTGCAGGAACGATGTTGGGAGTACTCTCTTTGAGGAGTATTGGGATTAGATCTTCCCTCAAGTTCTTGTAGAATTCAGCAATGAATCCATTGGGACCTGTGTTTTACCTGCTTGGTAGGTTTTTTTTTGTTTTGTTTTGTTTTGTTTTTTATTAATTCCTCAATTCATTGCTTGTCATTGGATTATTTAGGGTTTTATATCTTCTTGGTTCAGTTTTGGCAATTCATTTGTATCTAAGAATCTCTCCATTTCTTCTGAATTCTTCAATTTATTAGAGTACAGGTTCTGAAAGTAGTTACTAATAACCTGGTAAAAGAGAAAATCTAAAAGGCAAAACAGATGATTCTGACGGCTCTTTTCTCTCATTCTTTTTTTTTTTTTTTTTCTGTCTTTTTGAGACAGGGTCTCGCTATGCAGTACAGGCCAGCCTTGAGCTCACTTTGTAGCCCAGGCTGGTCTTGAACTTACAATGATCCTCCTGCCTCAGCCTCCCCAGTGCTGGGATTATAGGCGTGTGCCACCATACCCACCTAGGTTCTTTTCAAAAGATCTTTTGCACTACTCTTTGTCTTATTCCTGAAGATATACTATAAATCCTACTAGTAAATGATTATACATTATTCTGGCCTGTGGTACAAAGATTTCCCAGGAAATAAACAAACATGTTATATACTTGTTATGGCATGATGCTTCGGATGCTTCTCCACCCCACCCCGCTTTTGTGCGTGTGCGCCTTTTTGTCATACGGGATTCAACTCAGTGTCTGGACACTAACTACATCCCCAGTCCTTTTTGTTTTTTAATTTTGAGACGGGGCCTCATTAAGTTGTTAAGCTGCCCAGGCTGTGCTTGAGCTTGCAATCCTCTTACCTCAGTCTCCTCGGTGCTGAAATTACAGGTTGTGCTACCACATGTGGCTTTACCTGTAATTTTTTTTTTTTTTTTGT